AGTACAGCCACCACAGCGTTACCTAATGCAATGTCTTACGGTGCCGTGTACCGGAGGGGAGAGAGAGAGAGCAGCGAAGGGGAGGGGAGGGGAGGGGGGGAGGAGGAGGAGAGAGAAGTAATACGGTTTCCTGATAAAGCTGTGGAGAGTATGTGCTGCAGGGAGGTGGATGCACAACGCACCCAGGAACGAACGCTAGCTCCGGTCCTTTTTACTGTGGACTCGATGTCCTGACAGGCTGGTATTTGTGCAACCTGCACAAACACAATACTGCACCATGATTACAAATGGTGAAATACAATGTAAAACTACCGAAAAATACCCCTTAAAACACAACCGCTCTACTCAACGCAACTATACTATACTATTCCTGCCCTTATGTCTCGTAAAACATATCAAATCCTGCATTCACTTTTTTAATTGTAATTTTCAAGCAAGTTTAAGCATAAATGTAGAATAAATAAAAACCTGCAAGATGCTCTTTAATGTCATGCACTGTTTATATATATCAAACTATACCAGACACTTCAGAAAAATTCTATTTGACACTAGGGAGTTGACATATTATTATATATTATACTAAGACTGTGTCTGAAATATGTTTAATTTTAGTCCAACTTGTTTGTGAAGAAAGTGTAAATCGTCTGTGGGCTTTTCTCTGTCTCCAGACAGTCAGAGTTGTCAGTGAAGCTTAACAGACAGCTGGAGAGATGCTTGAGGAACTCCAAGTGCATTGATACCGAGTCCCTGTGTGTGGTTTCTGGAGAAAAGGTAAAACACACACACACACACAGGTAGAGGGAAAGAAAATCACCTTATTCATTGACATAATGATGATGGCGATGTGTGTGTTCAGGTGTGGCAGATCAGAGTGGACGTTCACATGTTGAATCACGACGGGAACCTGATGGACGCGGCCAGCATCGCTGCCATCACCGCTCTGTGCCACTTCAAGCGTCCTGACGTCGGCATCCAGGGAGATGAAGTCACTGTGGTGAGTCAGCAAAAAACAGCAGGTTGACTCAGCTTTTCTGATTCTGCAGGGACAAATACGGCTTTGTTATTTGAATTTCTTTAATGATACTCACTGCAGATATAGAGTGGGACCTTTCCTGCTCTACTTAAAATCACCACCGGTCAATCATTAATACTGTTTTAATTCAGTAGCACCAGGTATTTTTATTGTGAAAACCAAAATATTTAATCTTACCTCTCCTTTGTTTCCATGACTAAAAAATGTGAAAAAGCTCCAACTGTGATGATATCAACATGAAATATTGACGACAAATAGAGTAAAAAAAGAACGTTGCAAAGTCCTAAACTGTTTTTTTCTAAATGCAGCAGGGATATTGTGGCTAAACTGAATCAACAGAAAAGTTCAATATAATCTAATGTCTAAAGAGACTGAAATATCAACAGTAATACATTGACTATAACAAAAGTACTAACAGTTTTCTTTTATCAAGATGAGACTGAAATGGACAGAATGTTGGTAAAAAACTTTACAAACAGGATGAGGTTGACAAAATAAGAACATTTGACATAGGACTAAGGCTAAAATGAACACCTGACAATGAACACTACTTGAACCACAGATTTTTTTGGAGCTCATTTCCAAACGGTCCTAACTAGCTTTGTGTAGGTTTTAATTCTGCATTTCTTCCTGTGCTCCCTCAGTACAGTCCAGAAGAGAGGGACCCCATTCCTCTGAGTGTCTACCACATGCCCATCAGCGTCAGCTTCTCCTTCTTCCAACAAGGGTAAGGCACCGAATATGAATTCAGGACAGAATACACTTATTGATCAAGTACCAACGTTCTGTGATCCTCATCCTCAATATAGTTAGCCTAGCCCCATTGATGTATATTAGGTGGACAAAATAATAGAATCACCAGTCAGTGTTGCAATATCTCTAAGATCCCCATTCATCAATTCCAGCTCAAATCAAGCTTAAGGAAACACAACCTTTCTGAACTTCAGTTCATTTAAATGTCACTGCTAGTCTCCTCACTAATTCCAAAAATAAAAAGTGCACTTTGCATTGGCTAAAGTTATGCGTTTTTTTTTTAATGTTTGTATTTGCTCTTACTGAATGAACGTCATTCCTATTTGTAAAACACTATTATTTTGTTGGTTGATTTTGAATGTTTATCAGTGGTGTTAATTTCGTTGACTAAAACTATGACGAAATATGTTCGTCAACAACCTTTTTTTCCATGACGAAAACAAGACGATGACGAAACTGCACCGACGGCAGTAAACAATAACTGTAACGAAATCAACATGCAATATCGTTGACGAAAAGTGACGCGACGAAAATGTAGTTTGCTAAATAAAAACTATGCCAAAATCTCTCCTTACTTTCGTTGACGAAAAATGAGGAGACGAAATATTATCAAAGACAACGTTACATCTCTGATAGTCAGTTTTTCTCCCAGCAGTTCCATTTCCGGTGCTGCGGCTGGGCAGCAGCTGTGTGTCCGTGCTGCGCGCGGCGGTATATTTGAATTACACCGGGCAACGGCAGAATATGAACTGTCAGGAAGACTCGGGTCTAACTCATGGTCTAACTAACCTTATTTAACAGAAAATAAAATGGCAACAACAGGGCTTGGGAGCAGTGGTCGCACTCGCGTTAACCGAATACCCCTCGTCAGCGGGAGTGAGTGATATATTGTGCACTCAACGGGTAATAATGGATTATGACCGAAATGTTACGATCCTGTCCGTCAAAATGACTGACAATGAAAAAGTCTAAAGCTACCATTGCTTGGGAGAAAGAAACAATGTGATATTTGGGCCCATTTTCACTACAATGAGGCGGAGAAAAAAAGTGAATGCATTGTTTTATCAGAAGGGAAGCAATGTGGCCGTAACACAGCTGGTAAAAACACCACAAACCT